GACAGGAAGTAGATGAGTGATTGCTTATGGATAGGGAGAGAATAGGGTTCAAGGGAATGCTATAGCTAAAAGGTAATGGGTTTATGAGGTGATAAAAAGGTTCCAGAATTGACTGTGGTCTTAGTTTCATATAACGTAGTATATTAAAAATTACTGAATTGTACACTTCAAATGGGTGAATCGCAGGGTATGGGAATTATATCTCAATAGAGCTGTTATTTAAAAATCAACACAATGTAAAACAGATTAAATGTGTCAAGAACACATCCAGGTTTCTCAGAACTACCTCCTCCTCTTTTTCTCTTAAATTTGTCTTCCCAGTCAATTCCCACTTTCAGTGAATGAGCCCCCTAAGGACCATGATGGCACTTCCTAATGGCTCCAGAATGGGGATACTGCCAGGCTAAGAAGAATGGCCTGGAGAACGTGTTAATAATGTGTATTTCAAGCTTCATGCCAGAGATACTGAGTTGTCAGGTTCATAATTGGGCCCAGAAACTTGTATTTTAAAAAGCATCACAAATACTTTGAATGTTCATACATGATTGGTGATCATTCACGGCAGATGACATGCTCCAGGACATTCTTCCTTGATGCAACTGAGCTGACTCCCTTTCCTACCTCTGAATTCCCCACCTCTGACACATAGAACTAACTTTTCAGAAGTTAAATCTATCTTTTATATACATTTTCCAATATTTTAATTAAGCAACTGTACTGTGCATATAACAGGATTACATGTACATTAAAGACTTCTTATAAATACAAACACTGGAGAGAAAGCTTATTTTTAAAAAAGTTATAGAAGACCTTTTTTTGGCTGTAGGTTTTTTCAAAAATTAGTATAAATTTCTGATAAGAATATTTTTAGTTTTTCATGCATTGTAAAACAACTTCACAAAGGTAAAACTTTTAAAAATTAAAAAACTAAGCAGAAAGAACTTCATGTCAGCACACATCACAAAACTAAGATAGCAAAAATTAGGAAATAAACATCACACAATAATAATATGAAAACATTAAATCACTTTATTTAGGGTAAAGCAAAGTTAAATTCTACTTATAAGACATTTTACTGACTTATGATTCATTTTCCCACTATTTCTACTAAGAAAACCTGCTGGATGAAGGCTTTAAAAGAGACTTGCTGAAAATTGAAATAAAATCTTTGGAGGCTATGAAAACATCTTCCCTTGAAGTGTTATAAATAGGACAGACTGTTACAGTTTTGAGATTGGAGGTTTCTAATCACGCTTTTAAAAGCGAACAGTCCTAATGACCTTTAAAGCATCATTGTGTATTTTATGACATAATGATCATTCATTGATTGCCGTCAACTTAGAAAGGCCATTTAAATGCAAAAGTTCTTTCAATGAGGAAACAATTTTAATATGCTAGGGAAAACAGAATGCACCTAATAAACTTTTTTACTTTGTATCTCTGCCAAAAGCTTATAATGATTACATACATTGATAACAGTTCACTGGAAACAGGATTATGTAACTACAACATGCTTTTAAGGAATAAATAGGAAGGAAGGCAATGCCCAATGAAGAACTCATTCACATTCTGACTGAAGCCATATTTATGGAAATGATGGGAAATGTTCTACTGCAAAACGTCTTTTTATACTGTATACTGACAGAAGAAAAACCTGTAGGAGAAGAAGCCAGTTTAGCTATACTAGTTTCATAAATGTAAACAAAGGCATTATTTCTAAAGGATCAATGAATAAACAAGTTATTCATGCCAGTTAACAATATCCTCTTGTCAGCTGAACAAAACAGTAACTAAATCTGTATTTTTATAGCACTGAACTCAATTTCAATATCAGTGTATGCTTTTACATGAAGTACTATTTTTCTATATTCAACAACAAATACAACATAACTAGTAGAAGACCCTCCTCCAATTTCCAGAGTTGTAAATCAATAAATCTGCCCCTGACCTAAATCAGGTCTATATTTATTGACTTCTGGTACAAGGGTGGTAAATCACAATTGTATTTTAAATATAGCACTTTCACGCTGGAACAATGCCTTATTTTTATCTCCTATAAACTGGACATAAAATGAACATGGCAAGGGATTTTATTTTTTCCTTATGTCACAAAATTTAAACTGTAACAATAACCTGCTTATAGCCAAGGCAATGCAATACTCCAAAAGTCAAGCAAATGAACTCTGAACAAATGTGGTCTTCTCAGTAATTGAAGGGACATAAAGAAGCAGTGAAAATCTTAGTAATATTATGATTGTTTTGGCTACTAAACCTTCTAAAATGGAACAACTTCCTGGCACTGTGGAGGAACAAAGAATATGTAAACTGTAACAGCAGTGAAATTTTACAGTAAGTTTTATACTGATTTTATACTGACAGCTAACATGTGTATCTCATGTTAGAAAATGGCTGGGAAGCTCTGTGTTATCACTCATCATAAGGTATTTTGTGTTGTTTTGGCTATAGAAAGGAGTCTGAAGAAAATAAAAACAGAGCTATAGCACATAGCAAGGACATCATAATCTACAGAGAAGTAAGGCTGGCCATCCCTTATGTAAGCAGATGGGGGGAAAAAACTAGGCAGCTTTAAATAATTAGTAATTGAAGGCAACTGCTCTCTTATGTGTATCAACTTGATAATAAGCCCATTAACTGTAGTACAAAACAAGAATACTTTTTCAACCCAAAGTGTTCTCTTTAGGATTCTCCTCCCTGTGGTTCCCAATGCTAGGGAAATAATTAGTATCCATTTTTTAAAAATAGGCAATATTTTCAGATGTTTACAGATTACACATCTCCCCCCCCCCATTTTATTTTATTTTACTTTATTTTTCCAGCATTCATTGTTTATGTTTATTTTTATTTTATTTATTTATTTATTTATTTATTTATTTATTATTATTTATTTTATTTATTGTTTATGTTTATTTTATTATGTTTATGTTTATTTTTCCAGCATTCATTGTTTATGCACCACACATACAACCAAATAAAAAACCTAGCTTTTTTAACTATGAAGGGCCAAAATTAAAAAGTTTTAACAAGGAACATTAGGCAAAAAATTTTCTTACCATTTTAAGCATACCTGTCTCCATCTATAATTTCTATTCAATAGTATCTTGATAAATATAGCTAATTTGGCCAGTTATCAGCATTTGCTATCTGCTCTGTTAGCAAACCATATATTAGATGTATGGCCTAGACAGATGGCCACAATGACTTAAATACCCATTGCTTCAAAACACAAGATAATAGAATTAATGAGTTTAATTTGAAATTTTTAATTTGAAATGTTCACACAAACATTTTCAAATCAAAGAATAGAATGGCATATAAATTACATATTCTTCTACATATTTATATATGGTCATGACATATTCAAGTGTGACTAAAAGACATGGCTTTTGTGTAAGAATAAATTGTATTAAGATGCCACCATAAATAAGAAAAAGGCACATTTCAATTGATACAAATATATCCTGATAATCTATAAGGTGAGAGACAGTATGTGATAAACTAATAAAACCTTACAAGTCTTGTCCACCACAATTTCAGTGCCAAAGGACAAGGCTGACTGTCCTTAATTTGGATCGAGATAACTTTATTTGAATGATTTCTTGGAAAATGTTACCAAGTAAAACATAAATTCCTTTTCTTATGGTCTATAGTAAGTTAGTTAATAATGGCTGAGGGAACTTAATCATTTTGTGATTCAAATGGCTAGTAAAACAACTGAAATTATGTCCATAGGAATACAGATTAAAGAGTATAACCTCCATGAACCAATACAGTAGGGCCACACACCACTTGTAGAACTGGCCTGGTATTTGATTAAAATGATACATCATTTAATATGGCCAAAAGACAATCAAAACAGATGGTCTATTATTCTGACATTTAAACCATTTATCGTTTTTATGTTTTACTTCCTAAAAATGGAAGGTATTTTAGGAGGTATAAAAATAAGAAAATTATTCAGCAAAAATGCCCAATGGTTTTCCATCATACACAGAATAAAATACAAAGACATCTACCCCTATGTGATCTAGCCCCAGGCTACTTTACACCATCACCTTTCACCACTCTACCTTACCATCATGCACTTCAGACTAGCAGCCTTCTTGCTGGACTTGGAGTACACCAGGCACCTTCAGGGCAATGGTGGCTCTCTCTGCCTGGAATGCACTTTCCCTGGGTTTTATTCATCATTCAGATCTCTTTTCAAATATTACTTCCTCAGGAAAAACTTCATGACCGCTGTATTTAATGAAGCACCGTCTGTCTGTCATCGTACTGTACTTTTTAATTGTACATATCACTCCTTGACATGGTATTTTCATTTTGTCCATCTCATCCCACAGAATGGCTAAAGACTTGCTTTGCTTACTGATAAATCCCCAGTGCCAAAAACAGTGCCTGGCACACACGCAGGTACTCATTAATAAATGGGAAATTAATAAAAAATCAAAATACATTTAATCCACAGGTTTTGGTTGTGGATTATGAATCAGACACTCTTAAGCTCTAGATAAGCATATGATCTACCACAGACTCTCCTCCTAAGAACCTAAGCAGGAGCTCAAAACACAAATACAAAACAACGTGTTATACTTGGAGAATAAACAAAGAATAAAGTAGAGAATCACTAGGAGGAAGAGATGTGTTGGCCAGTCACAATAGACTAAAAACAGTCCATTGTCTTTAATAAGTAGATCAATGCTGATCTTAACCAAATGTGTCCCAGCAGTAGACTACACCAAGTTAAAAACAAGCAAGGTACAGAAAAGAGAAGAACAATCTTCCAAGATTTTTTGAATAATTAATTTACCAAATAGCAGTTTAATTCTAAAGTACAAGATTAATATTAAAGAATTTGCAACTTCAAGTGCTATTAATCTTTTCATATAAATATATATATGCTTTAGTATTTTGGGGTTATACAGACATTAAGAGTAAATCAGCATACAGCTAAATTAAAACATGCACAAAACATCCCTTACCTGAATTTCTAAAATCATTCTTTCAATCTCATCTTGTTGGCTGTCTATTATCTAAAACACAGGAAATATATCAGGGTGAATCAAAATTTTTGCCATTGCTTTTCAAAAGTACCAATATTTTAAGAAAACAAAAGCAGACCAAATTAGCAAGACAGGAAACAACATGTGTTGGAGGGGATGTGTAGAAAGGGGAACCCTTTTACACTGTTGGTGGGAATGCAAGTTGGTGCAGCCTCTTTGGAGAACAGTGTGGAGATTCCTCAAGAAATTAAAAATAGAACTTCCCTATGACCCTGCAATTGCACTACTGGATATTTACCCCAAAGATACAGATGTAGTGAAAAGAAGGGCCATCTGTACCCCAATGTTTATAGCAGCAATGGCCACGGTTGCTAAACTGTGGAAAGAACCAAGATGCCCTTCAACGGACGAATGGATAAGGAAGATGTGGTCCATATACACTATGGAGTATTATGCCTCCATCAGAAAGGATGAATACCCAACTTTTGTAGCAACATGGACGGGACTGGAAGAGATTATGCTGAGTGAAATAAGTCAAGCAGAGAAAGTCAATTATCGAATGGTTTCACTTATTTGTGGAGCATAACAAATAGCATGGAGGACATGGGGAGTTAGGAGAAGGGAGTTGGGGGAAATTGGAAGGGGAGGTGAACAATGAGAGACTATGGACTCTGAAAAACAATCTGAAGGGTTTGAAGAGGTGGGGGGTGGGAGGTTGGGGGAACCAGGTGGTGGGTATTAGAGAGGGC